GTGTCATGTTTGGCAGCTTATAAACTGAACAGAAATCACTAAATCACACATTAGTATCTGAACATTCAGGTTAAATCTTTATGACATCTGCGAGAACACAATGAGCTCATAGGATTTCAGAAAAAGTGGAAAATAAGAGGAAAATAAACTCTTACACAGAGATGAGCAGGTGAAGGAGTATTAATCAAACTAGCAGAAGAAACTGAAGTTCCAGTAAATGTTTGTTGGTCAAAAACAGGAGCAGCAGCTCATGTGATGTGAAGATGATGAATGAAATGAACTTCATCTTCAGTCATCAGAGTCAGTTGTGCTGAGAATTAGTGTGTTTACTGAACATTTATTTTACAAGCTTTAGTCTGAGAATTTACATTAAAGGACAAAGACATGAGACTATCAGAGAGATGATCTTACCACAGTATCTCCAGTTTACAGTGAGGATCCTCCAGTCCAGCAGAGAGCAGCGTGACTCCAGAATCTCCCAGTTTATTCCCAGACAGATTTAGTTCTCTCAGGTGTGAGGGGTTTGATCTCAGAGCTGAAGTCAGAGCAGCACAACCTTCATCTTTGAGGCCACAATCACTCAAGCTGTTGAGAACAATGACACACTCTTCACTCTCTCAGGTCAGATCAGTTTAGCGGTGAATCCATTAGTAAAGAGAAAGTACAAAATGTATTATAGATCATTGAACTGAGATTTAAAATGTGAAAGAGCAAAAAAAAACATGATCATAAATCATCTAAAGTCTCATTCAAGAAAGATAAATAATATTTCTTTATTGCACTGTCAGTATTTTTAACCAAATTGTCTTATGAAGACATTCATACAAATCTGTTTAATCACACTATTGATTACACAGCTTAAGTTTTATACTGTTATTTTGATCAGCATTATTATGTATGGTTTAGTGGTGTGTGTGTGTGTGTGTGTGATTCTCCTCCATCACCCAAGGATAGACACTTTATTTATATAATATAAACACCTCTCTGTGCAATGGAAAAAAAAAAACAGAATAAATGCAGTTTTGGACTCAGGTTGGTCGCCTCTTACTCTCCCACTTATCTGGCTGGTTTCTTTAGTAATTTTGTCTGCTAACAGTCAAGCCTTTGCTAACAAGATGGGCTATTAGAACTTAGTGTAAACAGACAATCCGTTTAAAGGTTTTGCTAATCCAAAAACAGGTTTAACATGAACACAGAAGTCCACACATGTACAAGTGTAAGAAAGGCCACACAGATAACTGAACAATCACATATGCGCAACTCCGGTTCAGACTGACGTGCTTCAACACAACCGGAGTGCATGCAATAAGCGACGAGCAGCGCTCCGTTATGTGCAGAACTGCGCAAGAAAAGAAAGCAAGTGTGGTACATGGGGCTGTGCAGATGAGAGTACTCACGCCATTTAGGGATTTAATATAGTTATATTTCCTGTTTGTTATTTCACTTCCTGTTTGTTGCTGCCCTGTGTTTTGAGTTTGAGCTCCGTCAAGTTAATTCTTTATCGTCTATTTTTTATCTTAAAATCAATTTTATGCACCATCATTTTCGTTTCTATAACGTGTGAATATATCCCCGATCGTATTCTACAACAAAAACAATCAGAGCGCCTTGTTATCACTAGTTTTATTTTGATTTCCCGAGTC